AAATTAAGTAGATATTTTTTCTATGTTGTATCTGATAAGTAAAGAGCATGTAACCTTTGAAGTTCAAATATTTTTACTATTCTGTGGTTTTTTGCTTTTATAATTATTAATATCCATTTACAGTTAACCTGATTAGTGTGTGTAAAGAATTTATTCTTAAGAAGTATAAACATTTACTTTTCTTAATCTTCTACCACAAAGAATATTCTTTGGCTTTTTCTCCATATCTACCTAAGATTGATACTTTCTTTTTAGGCTTTGAAATTGTCCTTAATTTTTAAAAAAAAAGACAGTGTGTTCTTGTTTAGGATGGCAGTATTTGACTAAAAGAAAGACACTTACTAGAGTTTTGAGCCTGATGATAATAGCAGTACTGGCCTTATGTACTTCACAGAATTGTTTTCTGGATAAAATAAGAAGGCAGGCATGAAAATTTTTTGAAGAGATTAAAAATTGCCACAAAATATAGCTGTATTATTGAGCCTTAAACTGTTACACATCGCAGAGTCTAATTTTGACTATTTAAAATTCAGTTCAGTAGATTCTTTGTAAAAAATTAGTACTATCCTGGAGTAAATGAGAGAGGAGTAATCTGGAGCCAATTTACCTTTATAACTGAAGAATGACATTTCTTCAAAAGAATTTGTTATTTGAAAAAAGCTTTTAGTATCCTGAAATAGAGGTTATATTAAGAGATTTTACAGTTTGAAATATTAAACAAAATTATGAATGTTTTGCTTCTCAAAAAAATGCTTACCTAAATTATAGTTTGATGACTTTCTTTCATACATTTGCCTTTTTTCTTAAAATTTTTCAAACTATGAAACAAAGATATTCAATTCAAAGATTACTATAAAGCATGCTTTGGGGGTGGAGAATTTTCCTTAAATTGTTAAAACTCTGAAAGGTTTACACTGTAAGCACCTATAAAATTGTAGTCTTGTGACTGAATTTACAGTGTATCATATATCTTAAATTATATAAAATGCTTTAATTTGATATCTTTGCCTTGTAGGAAGATACATTTCAGCAGTATGTGAGACCAGAGATTAACACACAGCTTTCTGATTTCTGCATCAGTCTTACTGGAATTACTCAGGTTATATAATTCTCTGTTCTTTTTTCTAGAGTGTGAAGGTTTTTAAATTGGGCATTTATTTTGTAGGTAAATAAAATATTTTTTATTTTAAAATAAAATAGTTTAAAAATATTATTGTAAATAATTTAATATACTTCCCTTAAAAAAATCTTTCATATTGTAATTTTCAGTATTGTATTAAAAAAAATACAAAAGGAAATTGTAAAATTGTGCTCAGCTTTTCCTTTTAAGGAGTTGTAATGACACAAATACAAAGGTAGTGAGCATTAGTGAAGTAAATGATAACATGCGGAACTTAAAAAGACTCAGTTTTAAAATGTGTCACTTTATACCATGACTTTACATATAGCTTATTTATTTATTTTTTTTTAAGTCTCTGTGTTTTTACATCAGTGTTCTGATGGGGTAGGCCCTTTGTTCATTTATCTGGTTCCATTCATTCATGTTAACAAATACTTAAGTGCCTACTGTAATATTTGCCAAGTTGCTATGCTAGGCACTAACCAGAAAACCCATTGCTGTTAAGGTGATTCTGATGTATAGTCACCCTGTAGGACAGAGTAGAATTGCCTCATAGTGTTTCTAAAGCAGACTGCCGTATCTTTCTCCTGCGGACAGGCTGGTGGTTCAGACTGCTGACTTTTTTTGTTACCAGCTCAGTGCTTAACCACTGTGCCACCAGGACTTCTTATGCTAGGCACTGTTGTTGTTATGTTATGTGCCGTTGAGTTGGCCCCGACTCCCAGCGACCCCTCCTTGGGTTTCCGAGGCAGTATCACTACGGAAGTAGATTGCCCAACCACTGGGGATATAAAAATAGTCAAGCCAGTCTCTGTCTTCAACAGTCCAACAGTGAATTCAGAAGGACAGTCAGAATAAACCAGTGGTTGTAATATGGTTAGGAGGACTGACAAATTAGTGTTTTATCAGGTTACTATGGCCATTTATAAAGGGCTTCCATATGAGACAGAGGAAATGGACAGGTGTTCTGAGAAAAGCTTCCTTAATTCTGTGAACTTGGGCTGAGCCATGATAGTTAAGTAAGCAGAAAAGAAAGGCTGGGAGTTTCAGATGTGAAATGGCAGAACTGCAAGTAATTCAGGATAGTTCAGATGGTTATGGGATGGTATGAAAATGGTCAAAAATAGGGAAGTACATGGAAGCAAGCCAGGTCATGCAGAGTGTCATGTGTCTCTTTTTCCTGGAAGTCTTGGGGAAGTATCTGGAGGATTTTAAGTATGAGAGTGTTGTCATTTACATTTTAGGATGATCAGTTTGTCTGTGGTGTGTGATACGTTGTCAAAAGGTATGAGATTCAAAATTGGGAGACCGCTTTAGGGAACAATAACTATGGCTGAAAAGAGATTTTCCTTTTCTCCACTCTGGAGAATCAGTAAGCCACTAGGTTGAGGCCTGAAAAAGAACTACCACTTAGGATAATCTTAAATCTTAGTTTTGGGAGGATTATGTAGTACAATGGAAAACAATCCCTAGTATTTGATGGTAAATAGTTATCTTAAAAATGAAACTTCATTTCAGGTAGATCTAAACCAAGGAAATCATGAAGAGTTTGAAACATTATAGATAATTCTTTCTCTTATTGTTTCCTTCCTTCTAAAGTACATGTGGATATTTTGTAGGACTACACAGAGCTTCCCTGATTTTTATATACTTTTCTTTAATATTCTCAGGATCAGGTAGATGGAGCTGATACCTTCCCTCAGGTACTAAAAAAGGTAATTGACTGGATGAAATTGAAGGAATTAGGAACAAAGTATAAATACTCCATATTAACAGATGGGTAAGTATTTAGAAAACTTATCTTTTTAATCTATCCTTTACAATTTAAGGTGTCCTTCTTCATTTAACTTTTAGAATAACTACAGAGAGCTCTGGTAGCATAGTGGCTAAAGCACTTGACTGCTAACCAGAAGGCTGGCGGTTCAAACCCAACAGCCACTCCTCGGAAGGAAGGTTGGGCAATCCTACTTCCGTAGTGATACTGCCTCGGAAACCCAAGGAGGGGTCGCTATGAGTCAG